GCTCTAAGTGTCTGAGAAGGAACCCAGTGCCTCCATCTCCCAGACTATCTATTCCCAGGGAATAGATCCCAGAGGGCTGTGTGTCTATCTGTGTGCGTGCGTGTGCACAGGTGGATGTGTTGGGAAGCAACACCTGAGGGGTCTGCAGCCCTCTAAAGGCAGAGGTGCTGTGTTCATTTTATCTTTGCTCACCTTAGTCACAGTCTGGATGCTTTCAACCTCTAACAGAAGCTCCAGGGCCCTCCAAGGCCGCATGGCCTCTGGAATTTCTGCATCGCGGAAGCTGTCAGCCCCCCAGGCATGGGTGGCAGCTCCTCCTATTACTCAACTCCGACTTCTACCTATTAAGCAGGGGCTCCTTGAGGAAGATTGATTTCCCACATTAAACGAGCCTCCATGTGCTCGATGAGGATGTCACAAGACAAATGGCTCCTGCCGTGTGCCTCCAGCCCACTGCCCCGTGTTTCCATTACGTTTGGGCCAGAGTCATGGTGGATGAGTTTGGGTGTAGCTCATTTTCTGCCTTACACGATAAACTTGTCAGCGTTTGACCGATCAGCTGCTTGTATGCAGGGAGTTCATTTGCAAAAGGCGACCTGGCGTCCCAGCTCTGCTGTCCTGCTCCCATTTCACTCTGTCTAATGAGCTAGGACCCAGTTCCCGTTGGGTGGTGCTGCGCTCCGGGGCCCTGCTCAACCTGCACGCAGTGGTGATAGTTCAGCCCCTCCTCAGGGGTCCCTCTCTCCTGCCTGGAGGTGGCTGGGGCACTGATGCCTTTTTTGCTGCCAGTCTCAAGTCACCCGGCTGGGAAGGAGAGTGCCAAACTCCCACTCTTCTGCATAGAGGCGGCATCAGATCTGCTCCCCAGCCTCCCCTGCCGTGGGCTTCCTGGGGAGCTGCAGCCTGCCCACTCCACACTGGCCTTGGGGCTGTTTCATAGGCAAATACCAAGCCTGGGCTCTCAAGAGCTCACTGAGACATGGACCAACGTGTGTAACATCGGGGTTGCCCATGGTCCCCAGGCCCAGGCCCTCCCCAAGTGGCTAGGCATCACTGACAAGCTCCACCCACAAGCCTGGGTGTCTACTGCCTAGCCTCAGAGCCTTTTCCAGCACTGTTATCTCCCTTCCTCTCCGCCTGTTTGAATCAGACCCAGGCCTAGCCAAGGCCTCCCGTGCTTTGAAGCCCCCAGCCACCCTGATCCCAAAGGACCCCCAGAATAGCACACAGTGCAGGGCCAGGCACCATGGCCATTGGCAGGGACTCCTATAGGAGCAGAGAGGGGCAGCGTGGGAAGCTTTTCAGAGAGTGAGGAATCCCTTTCCTGTCTCCATCTCTCCCCCATCCCTTCCATCCCATGAAGCTCCATGCCCCAAACGTAGTGGTTTCCTGACTTTCAAGGGGCTGGCTGGGCTCCTCTGAGCTCCCTCTCTGAGCTGTGCCCACAGATCTCAGCCTCACCTATCCATGCACACTCAAGTCCATTGCCAGCCATGGACACTTTCCTGTGCCCACCTGGGCTGGGGACCCAGGCCCTGCTCTCTGTGAGCTCAAAGGCGTGGGAAGAGGGGGCCAGATCAGGGCTCCTGGAGCTGGACTGTCGGTGACAGAGTTTTGGGGCGTGACAGGGTCACGCACTGTAGGGTCATGCACAGAGCGCTAGGAGGTGGTGGTTACATGGAGCGAGCAGAGGGTCCTTATCTGCCCTGAGCACGCAGCCGAGCCGGCTTGTTCCCGGTGTGAGGCGTCCTGGAGGGCAGGAGCTCTCTGGGCTGCTCCCACCCACGCCGGGCGCAGGGTCGGTACCATGAGAGGGTTAGGGAACTTGGGAGGATTTGACCAGTAGGGCTTTGATAGGCAGAGAAGGAGAAGGGCCACCATACAGGGGGCAGCCTGCGTGATGTTGAGGGGATGAATGTGCGCAGGTGACTGGGAGTGACAGGAGGCTCCTTTGAGGTCCATGCAGGGATTCAGGGCAGGCGACCCGGAGGGGCAGCAGACGCGAGCAGTGGAGCCCAGGAGCCACACTGAGAATTTTGGATCCTTCCTTGTGGGCCGTAGAAGTTGTTTCAGGTCGAAGAGGGTGATGTGGTGACTGTATCACACTTAAGGAAGGGCGGAGGGGAGTTCTCCATCCCCGACCCCACCCCCAGCACAATGGTGTCTCGTTTGCCGTTCAGTCCCCAGGTCATGGCCCAAAACCTTGATGTGGATCAGATGAGGCAGGAAAGTCCAAGAGGCCATGTGGAAGGTGATGAGTCATCCTGGACCCATAGGAGTCAAGAGGGATCCTGAACTCCCAGGGCTCCCCAAATCCATATTCTAGACAGGAAGCGGGGAAGGGAGAGCCGAGGGTGGGCTGGCTTGCTGGTTAGCCTCGTTCGCCAGCTAGAAGGTCTCCTCTGAGAGACATCTCCTTCCCCCAGGATTTGCAAGAGGAGGGGGGAAGGGGATAGTGGGGGCTGCAGACTCCTTTCACTCGAGGACGTCTGTGGACCCCTCTCACGATCCTGGAGAAATCACCCTGGCATGGCGGGGACTGCACAGGTGGCCTTAGCATCTGTGTGCCCAGTAGGTGTTGAGGAGACCCAGGGGAGGGTCTCAGGGATTGCCTCACTCGAGGTTGCCTATGCCAGGAAGGAAAGCAGCCCCGAGAGCCTGGGGTGAGGCCAAGAGGAGGGAGGAGCAGACAGGACTTTCTCGATGGCCGTTCCAGGCCCCTAACTGGACAGAGGAAAGGATGGGCAGAGTCCGGCTGTGGTCCTCACTGGCAGCATCAGCTGTGTACTCAGCCTCCCACTGACGGGGAAGGTGCTGCTGTGCCTAGCTCAACCCATGGGCAGGACCTGGCTGGTGAACAGCACAGGGAGACCTGAGCCTGAGGGTGTGGAAGCCGTACCTGCTCCCACACATTCCTTGGACTTCAGGAAGGCAGATTCCAGACGACTATGACACACGATGGGTATATTTCTTGGCTTCAGGCTCTGGAAGGAAAGAAGGCTCCAGAGCTGGGGCCTGGGGTGGGGGTGAGAGCTCTGAAAAGAGAAGTTCTGATTCAGCAGTCCCTGGGGTTCCAGTGGGAGGGGCAGGAGGGGAGAGGAGTTGTGGCTGCAGAAGCAGAGGGCTGCGTGTCCAGGCTCAGAATCGAGGGGCACAGAGCTGACTGCAGGAAAGAGCAGAGCCAGCACCCAGGACCAGGGCTGCCCAAGGGTCTGCATTAATGCTGAGACAGGAGGGAGCTAGGAGGGGGCTCGACTGCCTTCTCGGAGGGATCTTCAGCCCCCAGAGTGTTTCTCTCTGACACAGAGAATAGCATTCTGGACAGGGATCTTGTACTTAAATAACTGCAGGGACAAGAGGGTTAAATAAATGAGAGAGGACTGGGGCAAACCAAGGGCGCAGCTTCTCAGCTCCAGCTAATTCCTGCAGTGTGAAGATGTGAATCCAGTGTAACCAGACTGTATAAGTTAGTATTAGATTTGGCCACATGTGACTGAAAACCCAAAATAATAGTGGCTTAAAAAAAATAGAGATTTCTCTCTCTCTTCCTCTCTCTCTCACATATATGAGAACTGAGCCCTCCAGAGCTGATAGGTGGCTAGGATTCTTCCATCTCACCCCAAGGGTGTGGCCCACAGCCTCCTGGCCCAAAACGGAGGCTAGAGCTCTGGCCATCACACCTGTGTTCCAGGCAGCAGGATGGAGGAAGGTGGAAAGAAGGGCAAAGAGCATGTGCTAGTTGTATTTAAGGAAGCTGTCATACAGTGTTTCTAGATTTTGTTGGCAGAATTGAACACATGACTTCCCCCAGCTGTAAGAGGAGCCAGGAAATGTAGCTGTAGTGCTGCTCGTCCCTGTGCCAAGCTAAAAACCAGGAGTTCGATGACTAAAGGGGGTATGGATATTGGAATACGCCACGTAATGCCCCTTTGCTTCCAAATAACAGGCACTCCATCTTCTCATGCATAGAACACACTGGGGCTGGGGGAGGGCTGTAACCCTGCACCTCATCCAGCCCAGAGGTCAGGAGGTCTGGGTGATGTTCATCCCTCGCCATCGGGTCCTGATGCCCGCACACCCTGTGTGGGATGGTGGAAAAAGAATACTGTCACCACAGTAAAGACTCCTGACTGGGAGAAGGGATACACAGCAGCACACAGTCAGGCCCCGCTGGGCAGGCTTTGTGAATCTTCCTGTGCTTATTGGAGGAAGCTGCCTGGGGCAGCCCATCTGGCCGGCCCAGCTCTATTACTGGAGGAACTCCATACCCAGTGTCCCCCATGGAGGAGTCAGGCTCCCTTGGTGACGTGTCTCCTGCACAACACAGTGGCTTTTAGATGAGTTCTACGTGTCTGAAACTGCCCCAATGATCTCATCTGGATATAGGTTAAGGGGCAACCTGGCCCTTCCACTTACCCTCTGCGTGGAAACAACAGCTGGGGTGATGGTGGTGGGAGGGGTCTGGGAGAACAACACCCTCACTCCCTTACTTCCGATTTTCATGTGAAATTGACTAATTAAAATATTTTGGCAACTAATGTTTGAAAATTATAGTTCAGGACAAATGAACTTGCCTATGTGCCAGATATGGCCCTCAGGTGTGAGTGCAGGGTACCGCTGGACGGGGGAATTGGAGCTCCTTCTCTGGCACAGGCTGGCCCGAGGGTCTAACATTTACGGGGAAGGTCCCACACCACCCCTTTTCATCCTGGCAGGCAGGACCAGTGACCTCACATCTGGGGTCAGAACTGGCTACAGCTGAAGGGCAGGACTCTTGCAGGGACACTGACGGTGAGCTGGCCCCTGGGGTTAGCATAGAAGCTCAGGACAGGCAGGCTGACTTCCCGGCCCAACTCCTGGGGTGGTGGGGGACTCAGGACTGGCTCAAGATCTGGGTGTCCATACGTGTGTCCGCCTGTGGCATGTGGGGCTCTGCAGAGGGGACCCCGGGCCCAGGGCAGGGCAGGTGCTAAGTAAGGCCATGCTTGCCTTCCCTGCAGACTCCACCAACAGGGACTCTCTGGATATGATCGAGCGCTGCATCTGCCTGGTGTGCCTGGATGCCCCAGGAGGCATGGAGCTCAGCGACACCAACAGGGCGCTCCAGCTCCTCCACGGCGGAGGCTGCAGCAAGAATGGGGCCAACCGCTGGTACGACAAGTCCCTGCAGGTAAGCCTCCCCCTGGCAGGGCCAGTGGCCGGAGCTGCCTCGGGCTTACATCCAGCAGGCTCTCTTGCTGGCTTCTGCTGCCTAGGAGGTTGCATCTGGGGCCGAGGGAGCGGAGGACATGTGCCATTGGTGTCAGGTCCTGGACTGGCCAGAACTCTTCTCAGGAGCAAGTGACCAAACCCAGCTCCAACCCCCCTAAACTTCCTGTAGCCCAGCCTAAGGGGCCTCTGGGTCAGGCCTGGGGCTCATTCCCCATCTCCCATCACACACTGTAAGGTGGGGGCATACCAGGGGCTCCCATCCAACAAATCCTCAACACATTCAGCAAGAAGGCACATGAAAAGATGCTCAATATCACCAATTATTAGAGAAATGCAAATCAATACTACAATGAGGTATCACCTCACACCAGTCAGAATGGCCGTCATCAAAACATCTAGAAACAATAAATGCTGGAGAGGGTGTGGATAAAAGGGAACCCTCTTGCACTGTTGGTGGGAATGTAAATTGATACAGACACTATGGAGAACAGTATGGAGGTTCCTTAAAAGACTAAAAATAGGGCCTCCCTTGTGGCGCAGTGGTTGAGGGTCCGCCTGCCAATGCAGGGGACACGGGTTCGTGCCCCGGTCTGGGAAGATCCCACATGCCGCGGAGCGGCTGGGCCTGTGAGCCATGGCCGCTGAGCCTGCGCATCCGGAGCCTGTGCTCCGCAACGGGAGAGGCCACAACAGTGAGAGGCCCGCGTACCGCAAAAAAGTAAATAAATAAATAAAACTAAAAATAGAACTACCTTATGATCTAGCAATCCCACTACTGGGCACATACCCAGAGAAAACCATAATTCAAAAAGACACATGCACCCCAATGTTCATTGCAGCAGTATTTACAATAGCCAGGACATGGAAGCAACCTAACTGTCCATCAACAGATGAATGGATAAAGAACATGTGGCGCATATATCATCTAGGGTGTTGGGCCATGGACCCGTGTCAGGCTGCGGCCTGTTAAGAATCGGGCTGCACAGCAGGAGGCGAGCGGCAGGGGAGCGAGCAAAGCTTCATCTGCGGCTCCCCCTCGCTCGCATTACTGCCTGAACCATCCCCCTCTCCCCCCAGTCCATGGAAAAAATGTCTTCCACGAAACCAGTCCCAAGAAGGTTGGGGACGGCTGATATATACAATGAAATATTACTCAGCCATAAAAAGAAACAAAGTTGGGTCATTTGTAGAGACGTGGATAGACCTAGAGGCTGTCGTACAAAGTGAAGTAGGTCAGAAAGAAAAAAACAAATATCGTATATTACTGCATATATGTGGAATCTAGAAAAATGGTACAGATGAACCTATCTGCAAAGCAGAAATAGAGACCCAGACGTAGAGAACAAACATATGGACACCAAGGGAGGAAAAGGGAGGGTGGGATGAATTGGGAGATTGGGATTGACATATATACACTACTATGTATAAAACAGATAACTAGGGCTTCCCTGGTGGCGCAGTGGTTGGGAGTCCGCCTGCCGATGCAGGGGACATGGGTTCGTGCCCCGGACCGGGAAGATCCCGCATGGCGCGGAGCAGCTGGGCCCGTGAGCCATGGCCACTGAGCCTGCGCGTCCGGAGCCTGTGCTCTGCAACGGGAGAGACCACAACAGTGAGAGGACCGCGTACCACACACACACACCAAAAGCAACAGATAACTAATGAGAACCTACCATACAGCACAGGAAACTCTACTCAGTGCTCTGTGGTGACCTAAACAGGAAGGAAATCCAAAAAAGAGGGGCTATCGGTATACATGTAGCTGATTCACTTCTCTGTACAGCAGGAACTAACACAATATTGTAAAGCAACTATACTCCAATTAAAAAGAAAAAGAATCATGTCTGATGCCTGAAGATGCCAGCTTTTCTGAATTTCCGTCACCCTGGCCTGGCCATTTCGATATACCTCCCTTCATCCCTGAGAAGTAGGGTAGCCCAGCATCTCCACAGAAGAAAAATCATAAAATGAAACAAAACCATTCATATATATACTTTTAAAATTTATTTTTATTTTTGGCTGCGTTGGGTCTTCGTTGCTGCACGCGGGCTTTCTCTAGTTGCAGCGAGCAGGGGCTACTCTTCGTTGTGGTGTGCGGGCTTCTCATTGCGTTGGCTTCACTTGTTGTGGAGCACGGACTCTAGGCGCATGGGCTTCAGTAGTTATGGCTCGTGGGCTCTAGAGCGCAGGCTCTGTAGTTGTGGCGCATGGGCTTAGTTGTTCCGCGGCATGTGGGATCTTCCCGGACCAGGGCTCGAACCCGTTTTCCCTACATCGGCAGGCAGATTCTTAACCACTGCGCCACCATGGAAGTCCCTGTTCATATATTTTTCATTCACGTGACATCAGCCCAGAAACAAGACATTCACTTTGGCCTGGAGAAAAATACTCACACAGATGAGGATGAAGATTGGACCGTTCATTCCCGTCCCCCATTCGTTTACCCCAGCATGCCAATCCTGTATCTAATCTTATTTGTAAAGGCCCCTGCACTTTCACAATGACCACATTAAGTAGCACGCAACCATCTTTATGTTTTGATTTAGCATCACTCACACTGGTAAGCATTTCTAGGCCGCCTCTCGTTTTTCTCCCTCTCTGTACCCTACATTCTGCAGGTTACCCTTTTTATTGGTTTGCATATTGATTCTGCTATTTCTGCTGAGTTCTCTCCCTGCTGTGCTGGCTACTTAGCCTCCACCAGTGGTGCTAATGGCTTGTAATCTTTCATGGAGCAGCTGTGGGACTGAAATGATATAATGGATGTACAGGACCTGAAATATAGTAAGCCTTGGTAGTGGTTTTTAAAAGATACCATTTTCCTCCCTTTCTTTTAGCGATAGGGACAGAAAAGCACTAATGTGTGAGTGGGCACAGCCCTCCCCTCCTGCCTCACGTGGATGACCATGCCCACCTCTGGGCTGTTTTTGCAGGCAGGACAGATTATCAGGGGAGCTGGAAAAGCCAAACAGGCTCCATGAACGTGAGCTGTAAAGTTCAAGAGCGAGTCTCAGGACAGAAAGGCAGGGGACACAAAGGGAGAGAGCAAAGAGCCTACAAGGGATGAATCTTGAGAGAAACTCTGTGGGAAGTGTGTTTGCTTGAAGAATGGGAGAAAAGGTTCGGGCAGCTATGAGATTGGAGGAGACAGGGAGACAGCTCAGAGATGTGCTGTGCCTCAGCTCCCTGGAAGGTCTCATAAACATTTCAGTAGCTTGTTGGTTTGTTCTGCTTATGGATGACAGGCTAGTACCTCTTGAGTGTGATGCTGTGCTGAGGTGGACCTCAAGGCAGCCCCACTTTATTCGCGTTATGCTTTAAGAATCAGATCCCATTCTTCTCATTATTTTCTCCTAGTCCTTTTGTACATACTGAGTATGTCCTTTTTCCAAGTCAACTAAATCCAGCCTTTGTACAGTCATAAAAATCATAAGTAATCTTCACAGTTCCCGTGGGCCTTTCAAATGCCTCCTCTCTAATCCTCACATCGATCTGGTGAACTGGGCCTTATTGGATCCATTTTAAATGAGAGCAAACTGAAGCCAGAGAGTTGAAGTGTCTTGTCAAAGCTCTCCCAGCTGGCAGGCGGCAACCACAGAACTGGAATCAGGGTTCCTGACTTGAAGCCCAGGTGGCAGTTAATGGGCCATCCTCCGTTCACCTTTCTTTCACTCCCATCAAGGGATATTTTATTTCTCCTAGGAATCTGCACACCATCCAATATGGATCATTATCTTTCATTACTCATTTAACAAAATTATGAAGCACCTACTATGGGGCGATCCTGGGAATAATATCAGTGGTGGCCAAACACACAGGGTCCACCAGACACATAATCACACAAAGCAGATGGTGGCCCTCGTGCACCGTGAAGGGGAAACAGGGCTAACAGGAGACTAAGGAGCTTGCCCAGCACCCAAGGAGAGTGTGTACAGCCTCGGCGTGAGCTCTTAGGAATCGCTGGGCTACTTGAGCCAGGGAGCTTTGGGCTCCACCTTCACCGCCTGGCGCATTTCTGGGAAGGAGGTCACACAGTTTAGAGCTGTCTTGAGGCTCCCATACTCTCAGGCCATGGCAATTGCATGCAGCGTTCCTTTCAGGAAATGATGTGCTTTGGTGTCCCTAGAGGAGAGTTTCCCCCTGAGAGGCGGGGGCAGAGGGAGAATGCGGGGTTCCTGACCTGGGGCCAAGGTGCTGGTTTGAAATATTGACTGTCCCAGAGGTCCACTCACTTCTCTTTCCTATTGCAGTTTGTGGTGGGACGAGACGGCACCTGTGGCGTGGTGTGCGAACACTCCCCTTTCGACGGCATCGTCCTGGTGCAATGCACAGAGCATCTGCTCAAGCACATGTGAGTCTGGGAGCAGGGCCCCTCCCGAGCAGCCAGAGGAGGCAAAGCCAGACTGCCAAGCAGCCGCCAAGCTAGGCCAAGAAAAATGTGGGCGGCCGCTGGGGGGCCGCACTAGTCTGGAAAGTGTCTTAGCAAAAGATGAATTTGAAAACCAACCTGAACAAGGCATCATATGCTTTATCGGTCATGGACAGAAGGGGCAGACTGAACAACAGGTTAGGGGCAGACTGAGCAACAGGTTAGGGGCAGTTAGGGCAAGGCTTGGCCAAGAATTCTCAGCTTTAAAGGAACCTCTGCTTTGGTCCAGGGAAGTCCAGGTCGATGTCTTGCTTGTCCAGAGTCAGGGCTGGGCCTGCTGTTGACCCAGCACAGAGGAGAGGTCTCTGAGCTGGGCCTCTTTCCTTTCCCTTGGGCTGGGTCTCTCTCTCCAACTCCCATCCTGCACAGACTGAGTACTTCTGTGTCCCTTAAACACACCATGTTCCTTCCTCCATTCACAATTTTGCTCATCTCTCCTTCTAGGATCTTCTCCCTGAATCTATAAGTTCTTCCATGATTTAGGAACTCTTCAGGATCACTGAAAACCCAAACCTGCCCTCGTAAACAGAACAACACAATTTGCTTGTTCCATTTGTCCCCGAGTGTTTTTTAAGAGTTAGTGGTGTAGCGTGGTCAAATGGAAAACATGAAAAGGAATACTGGGCTTTGGAGTCAGGTGGAACCGGATGGAATCCTAGCTCTGCCACTCACTAATTTAGGTGGCCTCTCTGAGCTTCAGTATGTTCATCTGTTTCATGGTTTGGGGGGCAAATCAAACTCCAACAGCTAAGATGACTACAGCACAAAGAAACAAGCTGCCCTCAGCCCCCCAGCCTGCAGGCCACAGGAGGTCACCGCTTTGTCCTGCAGGGTGAAGACCAGCAAGAAAATGGTCCGAGCCGACTCAGTCAGCGAGCTCCCAGCACCCAGGAGACTGAGGTGGAAATGTTCTCCGGAAATTCAAGGCCTCTTAGCCTCCTCGGCAGAAAAACTTCAACAGTAAGGAGAATCCCAGGTCTTTGGGGGTGGTGCTCCGGGGGTCACCCTACAACGCCCCCGCCCCACCAGCTGCCAAGGCACCCTGGAAGCTTCCAAAGACCCCAGCCACTCTTCCTCCTCTCACCTGCCTCCGCCCACCCCCTCATGGAAATGTAGTCAAACAGAAGGGGAGTTATAACTCTTGGGGAAATAACCTTGCTGAAGTATCCATCATTTCCATAAAATGCAAACGTGGAGCTATTTTTTTCCGCAGGTTTCACCTGACTGAGCAGAGTCAAGGCGGGGAAATCACCCTCTGCTTTCGGGGGAGTCATAAACAACTGGTTTGAATAAGTCATTTGAATCCAAGCTATTTCAATTTGCTTGAATTTACACTGCAACTTGACAAGGGGCCTTTTTTCCCAAGGGCCATGCTGGCCCTAATGGGACCTAGGCAGGCGGGCCAGGGATGGATGTGAGCCCTCGCTGACAGTGGCAAGGTGTGCTGGGAGCCACGGGCTGGCAACTAGATCTGGACTTTGGTTGTTCATTCCCTCATTCAATGAGCGAGCATGAGTACATTGATTCATTCTTTCATTCATTCATTCATCAAACACGTGTAGAGCTCTGGTGTGTGCCAGGCCTCTGGTAGGGCTCTGGGGACACAGAGATCAATGTGCCACGGGGCCTGCCCTCCATACTTTAGTGGAGGAAGTAGACCCCCAACACAAAAATATCAGATGCAATAAGCACCAAAACCAGAGAGAGGCATTCGAACCTGAACACACAGAGGACACGGGAGCTGGGTTCTGCCAGGATGCTGAGGGAGGGCTTTACAGAGTTGGGCCTTGAAGGATGACTAAGAGTTCGTGGTACCAGCAGCTGGGGGAGAGATAGGTTCATAAGAGATCAGGCTGGTTTGGAGGCCAGCAAGTGAGAGAATGGCCAGAGTTGGGGCAATAAAGGGAAGTCAGGGTCACATTGTGAAGAGCTTCATGTCCTTATGTTATGGGGACTGGAAGCTGTCCTGTAGCAGTGAGGAGCCCCTGGAGGATTTTGTGCATGGGGTTTCGGGGAGCCAGTGAGGAGACCGTGGGAATAGCACAGGTGAGCAGGACAGAACCTGGCCGGGCTCAGAGGCCGAGGGATGGCGAGGATGAGCCCACAGCGAGCTGCTGGGGAGGTTGAATGGCTTTCCACGGGGAGGAAGAGAGGCTTCAGGTGTTCATCTGTAAAGCTGTGCTCGTATCTCAACCCTACGGGGCTGTTCTTGGGACACACAGGCTGTTAGGAGAGTGAACTGGTGGGCTGGTGAACCCTGGGCCGGGGAAGGAGCCCCTTTACTTTCAGGGATTCAAGCAGGCGTCACGCAGTCCCGAGACCCCCAGCTTCCCTTTCTGGAGGACCAGAAAAGCCAAGAGAGGCCTGTGGGTGGGGAGGCAGCAGGAGCTGAGGGGGGTCTTGAGCTGCCATGGAAGGCAGGTAGGGTCTGATGGCCAGGGCTTGGACAAGAGGTTTCCAGGTGTCTGTGGTGACGGTAAGCTCAGCCTGTTGGGGGATGGTGGGTCAACAGGCCCGACTGAGCAGTGAGTTCCCGTGAGCACTGGGCCTTCTCCAAGTCCTGATGGGTCCCCGGAGCCTGGCATGGCCCACCGAGAGCTGAGCTCACACGGCTGGAGGGATAATTCAAGGCAAAGCAGGCAGGGAACAGAAAATCCTGAGGGAGTGTTGAGGCGGGGATCAGGGCTGCCCACCTAGGGCTCTGCGCGCGCGCACACGTGCGGCTGGTGGACGGGCGGCGAGGACCTTGCTGGACGTCGCTTCAGGCAGCAGTCAGTCCGGACCCCAGACTCATTATGAATGAGGAGACTGGTCAATATGTGAGGGTGGGCGTTGGGGGAGACCGGCGCTGAAAGGTCTCAGTGTGGACTCAGGGACTCTTCCTGCTGCTCTGACAATGATTCGTGAGCAGCAAAGACCTACGCATGTCAGGGGAGGCTCAGCAGCCCTTTCTGGGTAAAATGGGTTTTCAGTCACCAGCAAAGCCCAGATGAGCAGCTCTTGCTGTGGTGACCGTGACCAGCGGCCAGGCTCCAGGCCTTTCTTCCATAGCACGACAGGGACGAGTCTCAGTGAGGAGATGCTGCTTGCAGCCATCAGAGAAACAGGCTTTTCCCTGGACATAGGGGATTTGCAGGTCTGGCAGGATGGCCGGGATGCCTAGAGTCCCTAGGGATGCCGGACACACCTTCCCAAACAGATTGAACGCATGGCCTCTTTCAGGCCTTCTTCTGTGGGCAGTGAAGTTTTAGGACTTTGTTTGTGGGCAGTGTTCTCCCTGCCCATGCAAATGTCCCTCGTGCTTCCGTGTCCTTCCCCGCAGCCAGGCCCACCTCCCCTACCCCCAGAGCAGGGCCACTACCCAGCCAAGCCTCACCTTTAGCTCAGAGTCACCCTGCTTGGCATGCCTTCTGCCACTTCCAAACGTCAAGGCCTGTCTCTGACAGCGCACTGGATATCTAGCGTGCTGGGATGTAGACCAGGATCAAGAAACCTCGTGAGACCCTGTGGTGAGTGCATTCTATTTTGCATGTGATGAATGCATCTTTTCTTTTTCTTCCACAGAATAGTAAAGAATCTCGACTTCACCGTTTATAAATTTGATGACTATGGGAAAACATTCATTAAGCAGCAGAAATGCAGCCCCGATGCCTTTATTCAGGTGGCCCTCCAGCTGGCCTTCTATAGGTAAGTACAGCCTGCTAAGATGGGCTCACTGACAAGCTACTCTAGAGTCTAGAATCATCTTGGAGGGAGAGATGACTTTCTGTGGGCCTAGAGGATGGGGGTAGGATCAGGGCAGCCTGCATGGAAGGAGGTGTCACCTAACTGGGTTTCAAAGTGTGAGTCCAACCTCAGAAATGAAAAGAAGGATATTGCAGTCAAGGAGCTGGCGAGCGATGGCCCAGGGGCACAGAGCTCACAGGGAAGGAACGCAGAACTCACAAGGGCCAGGGAGGTGATGAGGACGTCAGGTAGGGAGGCTGCTTCTCCTGCTGATCTCACCCAGCCCACCTGGGTCCCTGTATAATTGTGACCTGTTCCTCTCCACCTTTCCTGGCCTTGATAAGGAAACGGAACTAGCATCACCACCCTGCCCGCCCTGGCAAGGGGGTCAAGTCAAAGATTTGGGGCTTGATTTGTCTCTCTCATTCCCCTCATTCCCATGTCAATTCTCCTCCAAATGTCCACCCTCCATCCTCTTCCCTTCACCTCCACTGCCATCGGCCCCTCCCAAGCCCCCATCATGTAGTGCTTGGTCAACTGTAGCATGCCCCGGGGGGTCTCTGCTTCCACTCTTGTCCCCTCTAATCCTGTCTTCATGAAGCATGAACTTTGAAATATGCAAGTCAGTCTTTATCACCTACCATGTTTCCCTTCACGCTTAGAACAAAGTCCAGCTCCCTGTGAACCAGCCTTCCCTGGGGCCCTGCCCCCAAGCTCTCTTCCGCCTGCAGATCTTTGCTCTGGCTCTGCCTCTGCCCACCCACCCGTCACCACTGCTCTTCACGTACCAGCTCCTTCCCACCGCTCAGGTCTCAGCCCAGGTGTCAGCCCTCAGAGGCCACCTCGGGGCTCCTCGCCACCCAGCTCTCTGTCACAGCTCATTGCGCTTTTTCCTTCATGGCAGTCGTTATTCATGTGGACTCCCTTATTCATTGATTTGCTGACTTTGTTTTCTAGACTGTCTCCCCCAGGCATGATGTTCTGGGTATCTTGCACACCTGGGACAGAGTAGGCATCAGGGACTGTCACAGACATGAGAAGACACTGCAGGAGTTTTAGCCCAGGGTGGCACAGTGAGGCGTGTGGTTTAGAAAAATCTCTATAATGGTAGCTGTGTGTTGGGGAAGGGATGCAGCGTAGGGAGGTAAGAGTTGAAGGCAGGGTTGGGAGCCTAACTGGTCTTTTATAGGAGGGGAAAAGTAAAATGCAAAATAGATCTTCCTCAAGACAGGGCTGGCCCCTGTTGGTTTCAGCGTTCCAGAAGCTATAGCTCATAAACTGGCACGGGCAGTAAATAGCACTATGCCCCCACCAGAACCTGCCTTCGGTTTGCAGCCAGGGGAGGCATAAAGCGACCTTGGAGAAAGCCGGGGCAAGGAGGTGTCACTAATGAGCAGGCGGCATCCCAGAGCCCAGTGTCCCATGCAGGGGGCTGTGACTCATGGGGAAGGGAGTGCAGCCACTCTGTCATCTGTCAGGCTGACGTCACCCCACACAAGGACTGTGCTCGTCACCAGGACATGGAGACCTCACCGGCAGGACCTGGCCTCTGGAACTGCAATCAATGCCGTTCTGATACTCAGATGGTATGTGGCTAAAATGGGCCACGAGGTCAGTGTTCTGCTGGTGCCATAACTGGGGACACTGCTGCACTGGTACCCCCCTGGCAAGCACTTCAGAGCTTCAGATCCAAAGCCCAGAGGGGCTGGTGGACACTGCATAGAGCCTCCCAACTCCACCCTCCAGGGATCTTTGCTGTCACTGGACATGGCCAGGAATAGATGTGGCCAGAGGCTCCCGGGCTCATTGAATAGGCAAAATACGACCTTCTGCCCATGGAATGCATTCTTCAGAGTTTCAGCTGTAACAAAAAAGATAGTTTTTAATCTGCTCCTACATTCAGCAGAAACCTGGAAGCTACCTAAATTGGGGTTGATCAGCGACCAGCCAGTGATGGCGTCTACTTTTGTGCTCGGCATGGCATTTGCCCCCAGGGGCTAGAGAGATACAGGAAGTGAGCTCCCTGCCAGAGTCTTGGGGAAATGAGACATAAGTGTACAGAAAGTGCCATTCGCTTGGCAAGCCATACAGTGCCAAGCACTGTGCCAAACCAGACTCTGCCTTCCCTCCTCCTGGAGCTCACCCAGGGTGGGAGAGACATGCCCTGAGAAGGCCAAGATACAGGGCCCCAGCTTGCTGTGTGACTTCAGGGTGTCACTGCCCCTCTCTGAGTTCTGTGTCTTTCCCCTCCCTGACCCCAACACCAACAACTTTCCTGACTGGTGAGAAGGGCGTGTGCCAGCCTGGTGTGCAAGGGGAAGAGACTTGCTCTGGCTGGTGGGGACAGCGGCCACTGCTTTCTGGTCACAGACGTGAGGGAGGAGAGGCACAGCCCTTGTGCCCATGGGTCTGTTTGGAAGCCCTGCTGCCCCTGGACGGTGAGCCTCTGCAGCAGCTGACACCCACGGCCACTAAGGCCCCTTTCCTGCCTCCATCCATAGATCATGCTTGAGTTGTTTCTAAATAAAACAGGATTCCCTCAAGAGCGCGAATGATGAATTAGTCCATGCTGTGCTATTAATCAAACACTAATTGGATCTCGCAGAAAACCCTAGGTTTCCCACCAGACTGGGACTTTAAAAAAACTACCAGTCACGTCTTCCTTATTTTATATCCACACAATATCACCCACGCAGGAAAGTGTGCTCAGCTCTTCGTATCCGAGGCTCCCCGACATTCATCTTTGGGGAATCTCCTCCAGAATCCTATTAGCGTTAAAATGAAATACTGTGCAGAGCGAAGGCAGGATTGTAAAAGTAAGGGCAGCCAAGGCCATTTCAGCATTTATGACTCCCTGAGAAGGCGGCACCGTCTGCCATTCCTCCTTCATCCTGTGCAGGCTCCACAGGAGACTCGTGCCCACCTACGAGAGCGCGTCCATCCGTCGGTTCCGCGAGGGACGGGTGGACAACATTCGATCAGCCACTCTGGAGGTGCTGCGTTTTGTGAAAACCATCACTGACCACACGGCCACCGTGCCGGTAAGTCCTGCTAGCCCGAGGAGTCTCAGGGGGACCAGTGAGGCAGCTGTGGACCGCCTGTCCTCTCGGCCCCGAGACAACCAGCTCCTTTAGCTTGTCTGCTGCTGAGCACCCTCTTAAAGCCCCATGCGCTGTGTCTCTGGTCCATTTACAGGATTCAGAGAAGCTACTGCTCCTGAAGGATGCCATCCGAGCCCAGACCGAGTACACAGTCATGGTGAGTGACCTCGCCTCAGCTCAGGACTGTGGGCTGTGCCCAGTGCTGGGGCCTCGGCATGGGCTCTGGGTGACAGCCGGGCCACCACCTGTGCAGCGACTTGGTGAGGGCACCTCACCTCTCAGAGCCTCCTCTTCCTTATTTTTAGAACCTGGGTAACACACCACTCCTGGTTTTTACACGGATTTTACAAGAATACAATGAATGGTCTTTGAAACAACGACAACAATAATAACACCAACATGTATAGCACTTTACAATTTATACAAGAGAGTCAGATGTGTGGTCGTTTGCACACTTGGCACAATCTCAGGTGAGGCGGTATTTATTCCCACTCAGGACTGGTTTTGTCTTCTTATTCTCCATGTATTTATTTATAATGCCTGTGAATTAAAAAAATATATTTGCTGAAAGTTAACGGTGAAATTGAAATTGTAAGGGAAATGTTTCCCTAGTTTAGGGAAATAATATATTTTCTAGCACTGCAAAGCCATCATTTGCATACAAACAGAGAATAAGCTACTACTTGGGCTGGTGATCAATGTATTAATTGCAAATCATTCTGATACAGTCTCTGAAGGATCATATAATCTCTGTAAAGGAGCTGACTGATTTCACTCTATATACTTGAAAGCAAGCACAACACATATCTGGGTTTTAGAACTAGCCAATGTAGGCTTTTCTGTAATTCAGTTGCTAGGTCCCTGATTCATCGGAATAGTTAAGTGTTTGTTCTGTTTCGGGAAAATCAAGCTCGCTGTCATGTGTTCAGTGGGTAGCCTTTGTTTTCCCACTTTATGCCAGGCAAGGCCCTGGGTACTAGGAAATAAAAAATGAAGCCCTATGCTTGGGGAGTGTACCGTGTAGTTGGGAGAAGAGGTCTTACATGCTTCAGGAAGTAGCAGAGAACATGGAGTAGCAAGCTCCTTCTTCTGCCTGGGAAAGCCGGGAAGACTTTTCAGAGGAAGTGGTGCTTAATATGAGACTTGAAGCATGAAGAAGTGCTTGTCAGGTGGGTATAGAAGGGAAGGATGGCCCCAGAAGGGAACAGCATGTGCAATGGCAAAGAGTCTTGAGAGAATAAGACATATTGGAGGGAAAGCAAGTAGTTCCATATGTGCAGCTTGCAAAGGACAGAAAAGCAGGAAAGCTCGTGATGCTGGATTTCCCTGTCACAAAGCTTACCCTGGTGACCAGGCAGAAGGACTGGTTGGAGCGTGGGGTGGTCTGCCAAGAGACAGAATTAGGGACCTATATAATGTTTAGGGAGAGCTGGTAAAAGGACTGATGTAGATCAGAGGCAGGGGGTGTTGAAGAGGAAGACACAAACTTCTGATCAAACATGGTGAACTGAACACAAGGGTTTACTGTCACTCCCTCTAAAACCCTCAGAAACATCAGCAAAGGGGTTTTTTAAAGCCATAAATACACTAGAGCAAAGAGAATGGGAAAGGAGATGACAACAAAGTTTCAGAGCTGGAAAGCAGAACAGATGGCATCTGACTTAGCAGACAAGAGAAAGCTGAAACCCAAGCAAACAGTGAGGGAGACCCAGGAGCCCAGTGAAGTGCACTGCAGAACCTCAGAACGGCTCAGGTGTTGGAGGCTCCACCAAAAGTAGGAGTGCATGTGGGACTGAAAAGAAGAGGATTCGCTGATGATCTATATGAGAAGCAGTTAGCCCCTCAATTCCTCCTTTGACCTTAGTGTTGTCCAATTTCCTTGGTATGAAAGAAAAAAGTCTGAGAGGAAAAAAATCAAATACAAAGATCAGGAATAAAAACATAATTGGGCTTAACATCACTGGAAGGTGGAAGATACTGAAACAATACCTTCAAATTCTGAGGGAAAATGATTTTTAATGCATATTCTATACCCAGCTAAACTATCAAATTTGAAGCTAGAATAAAGACATTTTATACAGATAAGGTCTTAAAATTTTTACTTATTAAGCGCTCTTTCTTGTAAAACTATTGGAGGACATAGACCACTAATGTAAGAGAATAAAGCACGAGAAGGAAAGTCATAAGCTCAAACATCAGAAGATTCAACACAAGAAAGAGGTAGAGAAAGAGGATGAGAGTAAAGGGAGATCCCATGTTGACAGCTGTTCATCAGACCCAGAGAACAGAGGGTCCACAGAGAAGCAAGAAGTGAAAGGAGAAATTAAATTGATAAATTATCTGATACATTTTAGTGTATTAAGGGAAGTTTTACACTTCGAGCTAAGGGTTTAGGAATCAATTAGTTACAGATACATAGAAAGGTAAGCAAGTGGGAAAATCATAGTTTGATTATTTACAAATTGTCATTTCTAGGGAAAACAAAAAACTGAATGAGAAAGGAAATCTGATTCTAATACACTACAGGACTCAGCTGTGAGTACCTGTATAATTATAACCATGTAAACACTGAATATTGATCAAGCAACAAGGAGTTCAAATGTAACTCTATTTGGGAGCATAGGAGAGTGGAAGTGTATTTGGGGAGTGGGGATATAAAAGAACCAAAGTTTCATCTTCTATAATAAGAAAACTGAAAAATGCAGTAACGGCAGTCTAAGCGTGTTGTTTAGAACTAAGAAAGTCAGTCGCTAAAAGGGTTCCAAGTGATTGCTTCTGTGGAGTGAGACTCAGTGCTGGCAAAGCGACATAAGCCTTTGGCTTACTTGGGGTCTTTTTTTTTTAACTATAAATATACAACTTTGATAATAATTTAAATTTTTATGAAAAATTTAGAAACATATCTACCAAAGCATTGCCATAGGCTTCTGTTGTTTTAACTATTTTAAGTTGGTGAAAACGACAAAGTAAAAGAGACAAGGGATGGGAAGAGGAGAGCTATAAAGATGCTTTGTAGGTAAATCTGGTACCTGGTTGGCCGTGCAGGGTAAGGGACAGAGGAAGGAAGCCAGGAGACCTCCAGATATCTGGCAAGTATATTTGGTAGTGGTAGTGGAGAAAGGAAATTCCAGGGAAAGGAGCAAATGTGATCCGGAGTCGCTATCACATACTCTCACAGCACCTTATGCTTTTCCTTCCTAGCATTTACTCGGTTTATGATCACAAGCTTAGTTGTATGGTTGCTTAACATCTGTCTCCCATCACACTCAGCCTCCGTGAGGCTGAGTCTGTGACTGCTTTGTTCTCTAGCAGCTGCTCAGGCACATAGTAGGTACTCAATTAAGATCCCTTGAACGAAACGAAAGACTGAATGCCGAGTCATTTTACTCATTACTACGCATGGCTCTGATCCAAACAACCTGTTAAATCAACCCCAACTGCTACAGTGACTTCAGAGATGGTGAAAACAGGGGTGGATTGGCTGCTGCACAGAATAGCTGCTTTGATAGATCTACACAAATCAGCCATTAAACAGAGGCAACCAGAGAAATTAAAAGTGCATCTACTTCATAGCTGGTCTGTCTCACAGTTCTTCCCCTCCGTCCTAAGGGGGCACGTCTAAAATGAGCGGTGGTTGTATAACATGTCTTTTCAGCCCATAATTAGGGGCATTTGGAGAGACTGGGGCCTCTGAGTCATCTTTATGCATTCATTGTCAACTGAAAGAAAACAGCTGTCAAATTCCAAAACGTGACTTGTAAACCTGAACAAAGTTCATTGTGATGGGAGGTTTCCTCCTAGGTGGGGCGTTAACAGCTAAGTGGCCATCTTACGTAACCGTGAAACCCCCAAGAGTTACTCACAATTACCCTCTTGTTGATCCAGAGGTTAATACGAGAGACCAGATGTGGCCCCCAAGTCTCCATCAGCCCCCCGAATTGCCCCAAATAAGCATGTAATCCAAGCAAAACCCATGTGCGTGCTACACATGCAGCCTCCAGTGGGGAATATGAAGAATGAGTGCCCTGGCCTCACTGCCACACTTCCAGCCACACCACCACCACCCCTGGGCTCCTCCTACACAGAAATTCTCTTACCACTGCTTCCACTGCTATTCTCTCACCTGCCCTTTTTTTAAAAGATTTTTTTGATATGGACTATTTTTAGTCTTTATTGAATTAGTTACAATATTGCTTCTGTTTTATGTTTTGGTTTTTTGGCCACGAGGCATGTGGGATCTTAGCTCCCCGACCAGGGATTGAACCCACACCCCCTGCATTGGAAGGCAAAGTCTTAACCACTGGACCGCCATGAAAGTCCCTCTCTTATCCTTTGATAAGAGTTCAAATACCTGTGACAAAAAGGAAAACCCTTTCTTCATCCAAAAACCCTTGAAAATGTGAGCTGAGCCTCTGCTAAGCTGTCTAGTTCCTGTCTCAAAATTATTCTTAGATTACGAATCCAGTTTAGTTGAATTGATTCTGAGCCTACAAAACAGCAGCCAAGACTCAGGAACAGACCTCAGTGCTCTCTACCCCTCATTTCTTGGGCTCCTGCTGGAGTATGAAGTGTTGGTTGTGGTGAGAGTCTGTCCAGTGATAGCCCGGGGCACCCCTCCCCATGCTTGGATGGGGCCCAGCACCCGTGCTCCTGCCCGGATTCCTGCCCTACCTGAGAAGGCACTGGGGATGGCCCAGCCGACCCCACTCTTTCCACTTAGAGCACGGAGTAGTTATACACAGTGTACGCCAGCAGGGACCATGCTGTTGGGAGGACTCAGACTCACTGACTTTTAACTGAGGCATCCTCGTGTTAGAACCCAACCTGCTCTGGCTCATCCTGTGGACGTAGAAATGCACAAGGGCCCAAGGAGCAGAGGCCATGTAGTACAGTGGTCGGTCCTGGGCGGTCACCCACACACGTGGTCTGCAGCAAGTACTGGGTAGGCGAGAGCAGTTAGAGTCCCCTTTAGCACTGTGGACTAGAGAGGAGGGGAGGAGGGGGAGCCCATGTCTCATGTCCTGTTCTTTGTCCCCAACTACCCAGGCCATAACAGGGATGGCCATTGACAACCACCTGCTGGGGCTGCAGGAGCTGGCTCGGGAAGTGTGCAAGGAACTGCCCGAGATGTTCACGGATGAAACATACCTGATGAGCAACCGGTTTGTCCTCTCCACCAGCCAGGTACAGCCCTAGCACGGCCGTCACCCAAGAAGCCACTTAGTGGAAGCAGTGGGCTCTCTAAAGAGCTCGGTGTCTACAGCCCACTGCCTAGAGTCAGGCAAGTCCTGGCTCTGCTCCCAGTGAGCTGCATGGCCTTCAACGGAAGGACCTGAATGCTCAGAGTACAGGTCTCCCCACCTTCTAAATGGGCATAATCATGAATGCCACCTTAGCAGAGGTGGGCAGGATGGGAGAACACCCATTCTGGTGTCCTAACCATTAGGCTTACTCCTTCTAACGTTGCCTGAGACGTGGTGTTCCACCATGGTGACTACAGGCTCTGAAGCCCGACAGGCCCACAGCAAGGTCCTGGCTCAACCAGATGTGACAATATCAGTGGAAAGCCCAGCCCAGCGGCTGGCACAGACAGGGTCCTCCAAACAGGTCACAGCCATTATTCTAAGGGGCCACTGCTGGCCCAGCATCTCCTAACCAGTGCTACAGGCTTGTTCTGTTGGAGGACCACTGACACAAAAACAGAATGCAATCCATTAGAGAAAGGCAGCCATTTAGGGAAGAAATTACCTATTCCCCCCACCCCCGCCCCCGCGAATGTCAATTTACTAAAGCTCCACCTCATCTGCGAAAAGCTGGATGCGGGCAATAAAAAGGGCTGATAAAGTTGTGTTTGAGGATAAAAGCACACTCAGTAATTTCATTTTGGCATTATGGCAGTGAGCTTGCAGACGTGAATAAACGAGGGCAGAACACAGCAACATAAATTCTTCAGGAAACCATCCATGGGCAAAAAGTGCTTCAGAACGGCTTTATGGCCTTCGGCTGTTACACGGCAAATTTATCTGACAATGAGGTGACTCTATTAGCAAGACTAATGGTTTGTTCTGCCCCATTCAAATGGCCAGTGTCATTTCTGAAGGCTCGAGCACACAGAGCCTGTGGGTTTAAAGCAAACCCCACCCTGCACCTGCTCAAGAATGTGCTCTATTTTCCCTCTAAAGCCAGCTAATAAAATTAATTTAGGGCGTGGTGACTCTTTTTTCCAACTGGAATGAACATTTATGGCTTGAACGCCTTCAGAAACACTTTCTTGGTTTGTGATCCAAATTACAAAATCTCTGCCCTCTGAATTCAAAACGTATCAGGTACATAACTAAAACTCCAGTTGATGGCCATCTTTGAAACGCCCAGTGCTGGGTAATTGTGCGTGGCCAGGCTGTGGGGAGAAAATCAGACCAGCCAGGCAATACTGACAGTAATTAAGGATGTGGGAAAAATCGACAGAGAAGACGAGCCAGATTTCCTCCAGTTCATAAATTACTCCCTCTGGGAAGCCATCTAACTGTTGGGTGCCACCAGGGTACCATTTAGTAAATTGCTTTGATTGCCTCGGTGATTCAAACAGCCCCCAGGTGAAGGAGAGACTCGGCTGAGACCCAGCACCAGGTCACTCTGGGAGCTTCTGACTCCACAAGTAGAGCAGATTTCACACCAGGGAGGGCCTTATGGCCCTTCTTCTTCTGATTTCATGCAGTTAGATGGGTTTGTTTTGACGACTCTGGCTGTGGCCATCCATGATGAAGCAATAAGTTGATGGGGTTAATTCAGTCAAACACCCAGGTGGAAAATAGTCAAAGAGAAGCAAATATCCCATCGAGGCCCCTGGGTTGTTGGAACGCCATGCTTTATAGCAGACTTTCAGAACAAGCAGCTTCTGACCTGTCCTCTCCTCCAGGTGCCCACCACCATGGAGATGTTTTGCTGCTATGGTCCTGTGGTACCTAATGGCTACGGCGCCTGCTACAACCCCCAGCCAGAGAGCATCCTTTTCTGCATCTCCAGCTTCCATGGCTGCAAAGAGACCTCTTCAACCAAGTTTGCAAAAGCTGTGGAAGAAAGCCTCATTGAAATGAGAGGCCTCTGCAGTCGGCCACCGTGTGCCACGGGCAAGCCACTGGTGACAAAGAAAAAAGTAACAAGGCCCAGCCAGGGGCACCAACCTTAACTGCTGCCACTAGGTCTCACCTCCTCAAACCCAGCATTCTGCAGCTGCCACACCCTGCCGAACCCCTGTCCCAACCCTTACCCCAGCTTTCTGTAGCTCCCCTGTAACTCTGGACCCAACACACAGACCACACTGAGGCATCACACAAAGCTGGAGTGTTAGGAGGAAAGCGCCCCTCAGGATGCATGGGAATCGTCATTATTGATCAAGGTGCCCTCAGGCCTGCACACTGGGATATAAAGCCAGCCTGGCCCGGAGGTGGCCTGGGCGAGATGGGGAAGGCACCACTGACTTCCCTCCATGGCCATGGAAGCTTAATATTGGTTTGCTTCCCAGCAGGACCTAGCGTGTTCAGGTGATGTTTCTGCCCAACGAAAGTCACCTTATTATGTGCAATGTACCCAAATGAACCACAAAGGAGGAGGCTAACTCCAGGTCATTACCTTGTGTCTTTTTGGGAGGAGTAGGGGGCTTTGTTTTCAGATTCAAAGCAGTCTGATCACAGCATTCAGAGTGACCTGCCCCGAGACACACAGGCCTGTAAGCACTAACCCACCCCCCACCGACATACACACATACACACACACACACACACACACACACACACACACACACAGAGCACAAGTTAATTTAAAATATAATGATCTGGGCCTGCAGACACATTTCTCCTTTTGCCTCCCAGAAGCAGCCTTCCACTGAGTTCAGAAAATCTGGTCCGGCTAGTCTAAAAGGGAAAAGAAATGGTCTACCATTGCCCTGGAGTAGCTGCTGCTCCCTGCTTTCCCCGGGGACGTGGCAGGGACCACTTCCCCAGGGATCCTGCCACTTGCATTTTTTCTGGTTGCGTTCCCACCCGCCTTCACAAGAAACATGCCCTGATAGGTGATCTGTCTCTTAGAGGAGAGAGGGATGCTTCGGGGGTTTTCTGCTGCTGTTGTTTATTTGTTTTGTTCTGTTCATTCTTAAGAGAGGCTTTTAAGAAAACCACTGTGACGTTAATTTCAGATCTCAGCAGCCTAAGCAGGGCACCCTTGGACTGCTGGGCTCCTTTATGTGGAGGATGTTATCTAGGGATTCTGCCTAAAAACTCGTGTGGAGGAGCCCAGAGCAGGGCTCTCCACTGGCCTGGGGGCTGAGGGCACAGCTGGCAGAGAGCGGGGTTGGGAGAAGGGAATGGCCACATGAAGAGCCAGCCCTGACAGAGGGGCAGACAGTCCACAGAGCCGAGGTGAGATTGTCTGGGGAGGCTGTGATCGTGGAGGAGATGTGAGAGGCACTTTCTGCTGGGGCATATTTTTATGGGAAAGCAACCAGAAAAATCAAAACTGCAAAAAGCTGAGGCAGCCTGCCTCAGTCCAGAGGAGGTGCAGAACTGGGGTCCCATCACACTGAGTTCTGCCATGCTCCCTGCGGGGTTTTCTGGAAAAGCCTCCCTGCCCCTGCCCATCCTGCTCTGTATCACTCTGAGCCCTCCACACTGGCCCAGGGACCCTGCATGTGTCCCTTCTTCAGACCACTGCGCCACCTCTCTGCACTTTGACCTGTATGGAAGCCGGCAGGGCTGAGATGGGATGGGCATTTTAACTTTGTAACACAAACAGCCCAATGTAGTGAATTCCTTAAACCCCTGGTTTTAGATTGCAGATTTCTATTGGATGATCTGGGAGATTCTGGCACTGCCCTTCAAAATTATTGGTCTATAGGTCCATGCTCCTTCCCTCACACGTCCACCTTCCTGCTCCCCCTGGAAAGGTGCAGCCCAAGAGTTCTGGGAATGTTTGGGGAACTGCTGTCCACCTGCTGTAGGTTGACCCAAAGCCACTTATCTGTTCTCATCAAATAACCACAGTGAAGATCCGAGTTCTCTTCTGGTTTCTCTCCATGGATTTCTGGGTAGGCAGAGAACTCTGGTTTGGGGATCAGGCAGCCCCACTGACCTTGGCCAAGAAACTTAAAAGCCCAGAGACTCAATTGCCTCCATCATCAAATGGGGAAAAGAGTGTCCCGGCCTTGTGAGGTTGTCAGGATTGTATATCACGTGAGTAAAGGGCTTTCCACAAGCATGTGGGCACTGGTGCCTGCTGTCAGGATGATGTTACCCCAGCAGGCATTGTTCAAGTGATGTTTGTTTCAACCTTTCTACACTGATTTGACAGAACCAAACTCATATCTGCCGTTCTCTGAGCATAGGGAAAGGAACCTGTCTCTGTATATTCAGATATCAACCATGTGTGGATGGCAGACATTTGGCTGGAGGGAACACCTCCTCCCTCTGAGGAAGGGGCTGGAAGCTGGTCTTCCCCCTCCAAGAACTGGTGGGGGCACTGAGCCTTTATGTAAAGGCAATGCTGAGCCATGGCCATGGGCATCTCTGTGGGGACCCTGGTAAAGGAGACTGTTCCAAGTGTCCCCAAAGGGATGGAAAATGAAACTTGGAGACAGACATTTGGGGGACAGTGATGCATAATAAAAATGTATGTGGCCACCTTACAATATTGCTAAGTTTCCAAAATATATAAAGTTGATATTTGAGTTCTATTTTTATAAAATAGTTCTAGATTTATGGCGATATGTACATGTGTATTTATAGCCTTTCAATTTTAGGTTACAGTTTTGTGCTCTAAAGAAATATATGTATGACTAAAGAACTGTATATTGAAAGCACTATATTCAAATTATTTAAAGACTGTAAGTCTGTATTCAATAAAATGTAATGCCAAGAAAGATGGTGTTGGCTATTGTTTCTACCCAGAAATGCTATAAAAATTCTGTAGTAAATTCTGTGAGCTGGGTCAACAATTCATTCGCCTCTGAGGTCTGACAGCAGCAGTGGCAGATGTCTAAAAGACAGGGGTTGGGAGAGAAAAGGGGGGAAGGAACTTAGTCTCTCCTAGTGTGTGGCATGCCACCACGGGGTGGGGGTGAGGGTCAGAGAGGCTTCATGGGATGTTTGTGATCAGGTTGGCAGAAACCTGGGTGTAGAGATGGGTGTTTCCACTCAAGCCTGCACGAACATGCATAAGCAGAATGAAGTGGAGGGAAAAGCATCAGGCTCAGAGGCGGGATGCCTAAACTGGAGCCACAGGTCTATCTCTAGCTTGCTGTTAGAGACAGAGTGACTTTGGGGATGTCACTTTCACCTCTCTAGCCCTCAGTTCCCTCACCTGTAAAATGGGGATGTTGATATCAGCACTACCCATTTCCAGGGTTGTAGCAAGATGACAGAAGATGGTCACTGTTCGAAAACTTAGAAGTGATGTAAAAACTTAACATCCTTACTGCAGGCTCACAGGTACATGTGCACAGAGGTTCCTGCACCCTGCACAGGTATATTCCCAGCTGCAACATCCCCTCCACAGCCCCAAGGATCCACAGAACCAGAACTGAGGTTCCTTCAAATGGAAGCCCAAATCGAACCTTAAAGTGTATGAATTTGTGTGACTGGGATGCAGAAAAGCATTATCCAAAAAGACAATGGCTAAGAATATTCCGGGAGCAATGGGGGGGATAGGAAGGAACAGGAAGAAAGCAATGTGGGTTTGCTCTTATTGATCACATATATCACACATGGCCCCAAAATAACAAGGTATAGGTGACAGAGAAGAGTACCAACAGGCAAGCCAACCCCCAACATGCAAAATAATGCCACCCCCTCCTTGTTGTCTCTGAAGGTCCTGAGAGGTAGCCATTGGTACATTCAGGTAAAAATGTAAGGAGGAGTCCTTCCTAGGTTCACAAGAGCAGCCACGAGTTTCCAGATTACTCCTGAGCAGTTCTTCTTGGGGGGAAAACCAGTGCCTTGGTTTCCCTTTATAAATTCAGGCAGCCTCCCTGCTTTTATGTTTCTCTGAGTTTTCTTTCCAAAGAGGCCTCTTGAGTCTGCAGGATGAACAGTATGGCATCTGGGGGAAAAGCTGGCCTCACCTTTCTCAAAGCCCTGTTCTCCCTCATTCCCTAAGGACCAGCTCTCTCCCTGTTCTTTTCTTACTGCTTCTTCCACCTCCTTGTGGGATTTCACTTTCTATTTCTGTTCCTTTTATATCGTTGGACCCCAGGATTCTGTCCTTGGTCTCCATTTCTTATATTTAAGGAGCCTGCAAAATGGCAGGCTGAGCTGGTACAGAAGGGCCCCTTCTGCCTATAAAAACATACACACAAAGAGGAAGGAAATTTTAAACATAGAGTCAAGTTCAAAAGAAAGAAAATAAATCCCCACATTCCAGAAAAAAAAGGCTGTTCAAAACAGAGCAGTGAGTGGGAGCTAAAGGTATGTCGGACCAGACACAGACTCCAGTGGTTGACAGTGGGCTTTTCCACCCCTGCAAGTTGACAGGACGTAACCTCAGCCCAGCCAAGGTGGGAGATACAGCTAAACACCCCTCACAAAACAGGAACCTCAGAGGGGTGTCCCAACACTTTTCTAAAAAGGACTAGAAACACTCTTCCCATCAGCCCAGGGGAGCATTAAGGAACCAGGCCATTCACTCAGGGCTGCAGATGGTGGAAAAAAGACATCCATGAGAAATCTAATTATAAGCTTATGCCACATGTGGATGTAGAATCTGAATGTATACACCTTATCTGTAAAGCAGGAATTCCAAGCCAATAATTTATTTAAATTGCCTGGGTTAGTAAGATCCGAAGGGCCTCAGCAGAATCAAGTATAAAACCACTCTCCACAACCCTGGACACACCAAACCCCCAGGGGGAAAACACTCAATTAAAAATGAGCTCACAGTCAAAAAATACAAACAGCACAAGAGATGGCTCACAGGAGGGAAAGCAGCGGATAAAAGAAACAGGTGAATAATATCACAAAGGCTGGAGAAAAGAGATGACTCAAAGAGAAGCCATGAAATAGATGTGTTTAACATTATAAAAAAATAAAAGTACAGGAGAGATACATATAGAAGTTCACAAAGGAGAGATTAGATACAGTGGGGGAAAGCACTATTCAAAGAGAAAATGGCTAAGAATATTACAAAATCCAGAAAACACACCATTCTAAAACTCATGGTCAAAAAAGAGATAATAATGGAAATTTTAAAATACTTAGAGCAGGATGATA